GCGTCCCTCCCCGCAGAGCAGGGGCCCGAGTACGCCTGGCTCGGGCTGGGAGGAAGACGACGTGAGAAGGGGCCCGAGGCCTGGCGGCACGTGGAGGCCGTGGCGCCATGGGCGGCCGGGAGGGACCCTGCCGCTTAGCGAGGGCAGAGGGTTTCCGTCTCTAGGTCTGCCCCGAGCGATGTCGGCGGGCAGCTGCTAGCGGTGGCCCGGCCTCGCCTGCGCAGGCATCGGTGGTGCCCACCCTTAGTCCAGTCTCTGGCGTCTTCCGCTGCCCGCCGGCTGGGCGGGCCCCGGTGCGAATCGGAGGCTGGTGAGGCTGCTGGGTTTTGGGGGTGGTGGGCTGAGCGGGCAGCGTGGGACAGCCATGCCGGTCGTTCGGGCAGTTTGCCGAGTTTGAACAGCCGAACTGAAAGCAGACTTGACGCGATTTTTTTTTCTGTGTCAGCTGTTTCCTCCTGTTGCTTTTGTCCTCCGTTTTAATGAAACGTATCTGCTAGAGATTACGTAACAAAGTCTGCAGAGTTTACTCAGTTGTGCTGATTATCTCTTGTTGGGGGGAAACCAGCTGATGTAAGATGTCTAAGGGAACTGTATTTTTAGAGCCGTTTACAGTGGATTTGATCTTTATTAATTTTTTCGAAGTGCACAAACTGAATGCTTCCGGTGTTTCTGGCAAAGATCACCAATGTAAAAGAGAGCGGCTAATGTGCTTTACTAACCAGAAGCTAGCTTAAGTAGATTTTGCCTCCAAGGTTATGAGGAAGAAGTTCGATCTTAAAATGAAAACGCCAACTTCACCCATCACCCTTTCTCTGCAACGTGCTCAAAGTACAGAGCATTTGTACTTGGAGGAAAGCAAAAGGAGAAAAGGCAGTGTGAGCTCCTGTTAAACCAATGACAGCACCTACTTTATCTGATAGAATTGTATTTAGTTCAACGGCTGTTGAAATGTCTGGTGGTTCACAGCTGCACCGTACTTATACTTAATTCCTGGGGTGATACGCAACTCTGATGTAAACAGATATCTTGTAACCATCTTAAGGTTATGGTGGCAAAGAGCAGATCATTATTATTGAACCTGATGGTGGTTAAAACATCTGTAAATGAAAGCTGGTTGTATCTTTAATACAGAAAACAGTGATACCTGGACCAGCACTCTGCTCTGTAGAAAGACTGTTGATTTTCTGGGGAATTCCATTTTTAATTTCAAGAGAGAAGGGCTGCAGCCCATATAATAATCTGTAGTAATCATTTAACTACGAAATTAACAAAAACCCCCAATATTTAATGAAAATTAGTTTCTGAAAAGGTAGTATGTTTGACGTTTGTCACAGATGCTTGCATTAGCAAATTGCGTTTCTGCGCAGGCTGAATGGTAGCAATTATGAGCTGGCTTTTGTGAAGTAATCGTGGTGATCTCGGTCCACTTCTCAGTAGACCAATGGATGCATTGTAACTAACTGTAAGCAGTTATCACTTCTCCTGGCAAAAATACCAGGCATCAAAAATGAACAGCAGGTTGGTTATGTGTGTGTGAAATGACCGCAGCAGTTCAAAAAGTTAACACATGTTCACTGCAGTAACCCCTAAGCTGAGATGCTTTGTTTCAAGAACATCAAAGCACTTTAACCTCATATGATGCAATGAAGTGCATTGATAGAGTGCTGTGAAGGACTGCTCTAACTTCTGGTACATGTGATACTCACGTGGGAACATCCAGAGGAATATTTATTTTTTAATTTATTTTTAGGTTACAGACACACAATTATTTTTTGGGGGGATAGATTACAAAAGTTACTAGTATTTAAAATGCCTTGGTGTTTAATACAAAAGTATCCCTCATTTTCTTAGTCAAGCACATATGTGTAGGATCCACAAGGTAGTCCTCAATGTTAAGCAAAACAGAAAAGAAAAGTAACCTCCAGATAATTGTTGGTGGTTGTGTCCAGAACATGTTGTGTTCTTCCTTCTTGGTGAAGTGGGAGTAGAGTAAATGTAAGAATTATGAAGAACTTGCTTCAGTGTTAATTATGGAGTACCTTTGTTCTTGTAATGCAGTAAGAACACGTCATCATACGCTTGACTTAAATAGGCTGCTTTGTTTTAAGAAAACTCCAGCTAACCATGTGCCAGTTTAGGGTGTAGTCAGTTGACTGCCTGCTATTTCTGTCTTTCCAAAATGATGTTACATTAATTTTGAAGGTACTGATGTATTTTGTATGAGTTTGTAATTCAGAGTGTCTATTTTTACACTGCAGAAACTCATACTAAAGCATTATAAATTTTTTAAGGATACTTAAAAGGAGAAATGAGCAAACTTGTCCTCTACTTTTCAGCTTGAGAAAAAAAAAATCCTGTAAAAGGAATTTTGATCGGCATAAGCAAAAAGGCATCTGCAGTCTTGGAAGTACTGTGTGCACAAAGGTCAATTAAATCAAATGGAAAAACATAATTTATAATGTATTCTCCTCATGCTCTGGATGCTACTCTTAAAACGTGCTAAATAAATGGAAGCAGATTTAAGAGGTAAGTCTCCTTTGTTTGCTCTAAGTATCAAGAATCTTAAGTGTGTGGAGTTACATATCAACCTGTTTGTACAAAATTACATCATTTGTTTATCATTTTCTGAATAACAGAGAACCTTCCTCTCCCTCAAGAAGTGTCTTAAGTCCATTGTGGGAAGAGAGGTCAGCTGCTGCAAGTTACTTTCAGTTAGCTTTCCCCCAAGAAGTCGGTGTCTCGTAGTCATTTTGGAAGATTATTCTTTACCTTTTGCCTTGCTTAAAGTACAGCTGATTTTTCAGGAACTTACCATTGTTTTGGATGCCCTTGTTAATGGAAGTAATTGGTGCAGGGAGAAAAGGAAAATGGAGATATGTGAAAGTATGCAAATACTTTTATAAATAGAAAGAAGGTGACCTTCAGCTGGGCCAGAGTCTATTTTAATTCTTGCTGCTCTTCAATGTGCCTGTATATGAAGAAATTTGCC